CGGGGAAGCGCTGTGCCTGGAGCTGGGGCTAGGAGAATATGCTGGATGGGAATAGGGACAGGGTCAGTACAGAGAGTGGCCTGGCTGGAAGAGGAATGCAGAGTAAAAGCAAGAGGAGTTTATGAGAGATGCTGTCTTGCCGCTCATTGCTGTCCATATAACGTGGTTTGGGCCAGTGCTCTGCATTGCTGTCTGCTCTCTTTTCTGTCGGGAGGATTCTCTTTTCTGCTCCTTCCGCAGTTGTGGCCATTTTCTAGTCTCATTTCTTGCTCTACTTCCATCAGCTGCCCTAGCTGGGAGGCTGCACTGAGTGTGCAGGGTGTCTCCCCTCCCTCTGCAGTTTGAGCACAGCTGGGTGGGCATGTTCTGGTTTCAGTTTGGCTTTTAGGAGATGCAGAAGCTCAGTGACATGCTTCATTTTGTTTTCTTCTCAGAGAAAATATTCCTTCTTTCCTCCCTCCCTTCCTCCCTCCCTCCCTTCCTGCCTTCCTTCCTATCTGACCTGGAGAACTTATCTCTATTTCTGCAATACACGTTTCCCTTCCCCTTTTACACTTCCTTTCCTCCTTTATCCTCGCTGGTGGTATTTTTGTCTCTTGTCCTTGTTTTATACTGTCTTCAGCTCTGCCTTCTGGCTCGCCATCTTCTGCAGCTGCTCAGGGAGGGGTCTTGCTGGGCTGGTGCACACCTGCACTCTCAGGATTCTCTTCAGGCCTTGGAGACTGCTGTGGCAGCAGTGAGGAAAGGTAGACATAAGTCTGCTGCTTTACACATTGAGTGTTAATTGCGGGAGACAAGCAGGCAAAGAGAGAACCTAAAGCTCACAGCATCTTCTGTTGATCTGTGGACATAAGTTGGACCGTGGCTTGAGAGAAGATCTGCCTGCTTGAGCAGGGAGCAGATGCTGGCTAGCTGGCCACGCCATGTGAGCCTCAAGACCAGCTGATGACTGCCTCATTCCAGGAGGACATTTGAAACTCAGGACCCCAAGCGAGCAGAGGCTCTTGGTTGCGATGGCTGCATTCCAGCATGGGCCAAAGCTTCAGGCCCAGCTGGTGCCTACCAAAAACCATCGCATGTCTGCAGGCTGCTTGTGTCCCCTGTGAGGCCAATGGACCATGGGCACCAAGCACAAAGACACAGCTTGTGGGTACAGGCACCCAGAGACACCTTGGCCTCTCACCTGCCCTGTCTTTCTGTAGGGACTGCACTTTTGGTTTGTGACCATCTTGGCTGGAGCAATTAGGGCAGTTTGCAGGCGTGCACTGGAAACTGTGGCCACTGCACACAAATTATGCTGCGAGATGACTTAGAGTGAAATCTGTTCCAGCGGGGACCATCAAACAATGACTCTTTCCAGCTCTGAGAACATAAAAGGTATTGCTCTGCATTCTTTGTAGGGCAACTCTCTGCATTTCTCATCTGCCTTCTTTATATTGTGTCATAAGAAGTAAAGACAGGTACAGGTAACTAAAGATACGAAATTCAACCATTTAACTTAAAAAAAGACAAAAAAGGGGATATTTGTATTTCCATAGCAACCTAAACATGTAGAAAATCTTCATTTTGAGACTTTTTAAGATATTAAACTCATAGATATGACAGCAGCTACCTCATAAGAATTTACTAAAGCAAAGACAATCACTTGTCAGTATCTGTTCCCTTCAACATATCCATGAGTCAACTGTGAAAATCAGCTTTTCATAAATTTTCACTCCAATTGGCTCTGCTTGCTAATGTTGCAATTGTCATATTTGCATACAAACACAAATATACAACATAATAAATATGCATGTGCATCTTTTAATACTAAGCACAAAAGCAATCAAGTGCTGTTACTATTCTGTTGAAATCTTTTATTTTTTAAAATAACCGTAGCCATAGGCTGAAATACCCATCTCTAAAATTGATGAAAGTCCCTCATGTGGAACCAGTGTAAGTCGCTCTCAGACCTGACCTTTTCCACTATTTCCAGTCATTGATTCTGCCAAGGAATCCTAGTACGTTTGCATGGGAGGCATAGGAAGCCCAGAGGATTTTGAAATTAGTAGCAAATGACTTACCTTTGTGCTGATCAAACATCGAGGAGGAACTGAAATCCATTGTGGTCTATCTCATTGTTTACAATCAGCCCCAGCAAACACCAACTCCAGGGTTTCCAGAGAAAAATGCCATATATTACAGTAAACAATATATTCAGTGATAGCTGTTGTCAATCTTCTTGTCAGAGAATTAAACTTGCTTTATGGCTGCAGGTTGTTGTCAAGGCAAAGTCACTGGCACTGGCACAGCGGGAATGGAATATTCTGTTTGTTACGGACCTTGTAAAATGACGTGTCTGGAATCTTGGGAAAAATCTCTTAGCTTCGGCGAATCCAATTGCCTTCAAGCGAGGGGCTCTGAGGATGCTGCAGACACGCAGTATCAGCAGCCCCTTGAGACTGACCCTGCCCCGCGGG